TTCAAGAAATGCAAAGTTTTTATCCCAGTGGTATATGCGCCCATTCGGGAGAAATCCCCTGACTTTGTAGCTGTAAATAAAGCATTACCACATGTGTGCTTGTGTGTGTGTTGCGTGTTTGGGGTTTGTGGTGTGTGTGAGTGTGGTGTGTGTGTGAGGGGGGTGGGTGTTTTTGTGTGTGTGTGTGGTGTGTGTGTGTTGTGTGTGTGTGTGTGTGCGTGGTGTGTGTGGGTGTGTGTGAGGGTGTGTGTGGGGGTTGTGTGTGGGGGTGTGTGTTTGTGTGTGTGTGTGTGTGTGTGTGGGGGGGTTTTGTGGGTGGTTGTGGGTGTGTTGGCGTGTGGGGGTGTGTGTGTGGGGTTTTTGGGGGTGTGTTGGCGGTGTGGGTTGTGTGGTGTGGGTGTGTGTGGGGGTGTGTGTGTGGGGTGTGTGGGGTGTGTGTGTGTGGGTGTTGGTTGTGTGTGTTGGGTGTGTGTGTGTGGGGGGTGCGTCCTTTTGTTGCTTATTTGTGCTCGGTGACATTCCGTGCGGCGCCCTCGTGTGGTATGTGTGTGCGGCGCGCTAGGTGGGTGTATGACCCACTTAATTTTTGTATTTAAAACCCATTACAATTGTGACCAGGTGTGGAGTTCAGTGGTTCATTACTTTGTTTTTTGTCATAAACGTAACCATGTAGTGATTCATTCCCTCTGTAACTTGCCTTTTGTGACCAGATTATGGAGTTCATTACCTTTTTAACTAGTTCAGTATCTAATTTGGGGTCCAGTCCGGGCCCATTATGTACCTTTGTAACTTTTGACTACCGCCCCCAGGATGGGTAGGGGTGTTTAAAAATATTAAACTAAAATGTTGTGTGGGGTGGTGTTGTGTGTTTTGTGGTGTGTGTTGTGTGTGGTGTGGTGTGTGGTGTGTGTGGTGTGTGGTTTTTGTGTGGTGTGTGATAAAAATCAATTTGAAAAAATAAATCATTACAGTTGTGACCGGGTGTGGAAGTGTGAAATTTCTCTTACTTATAATTTGTTCATATTTTAGCCATGTATAAAGTAAGTAAACCCTTTACGAATTCATTACCTTTTTAACTTGTGAGCTAATTTTCCTTTGTACCTAGTTCAGCTATCAAAAACTTTGGGGGCCCCGTCCCCGGACCCATTACGTACCTGAATCTTAAAACCTTTTTAACTTGTCATGATTTTGACCGGGCTTACCGGGGTCATTACCTTTGAATGACGTGGGGGGGGGGGGGGGGATACAAGTTAGTAATCAAAAAAACCCCATTTTTATATAAAAAAAAAGGGCGCTGCCGTGAGAATTGATCACAGGTTCTAGGAGAGTGGTTCGGGGAATGGGTTGGTAGTTTCAAAATTTCTGCCTAGTTGTTTAAAGTTTTTATTTGCACCCCATACCCTCCTATGGGGGGTGCAAAAGATTACAGAGGTACTTTATGGGTCCCGGGACGGGCCCCAAATTGATGGCTGAACAAAATTTCAAAGGTAACGAAAAATTTAATGTTATATTTTGGTACAATCATGAACTGGTGTGTTGCGAATTTACACTGTAGTCAGGGAAACTGACCCCCAAAACAGCTGACAAAGGGCCCCCACACCGACTTCTCTGCCCCCGTGTTGTGCTACCTCTGGGGTTTGAATTGGTTGACAAACCCCCAGGGCGAAAGTGTTATATTCTGATGGCAAACGCACACCAGCTTCCTCCCTTACGTTTTTCCCCTTCATAACCCTTTAATAAAATTAAAAAAAAAAAGTGGGGTTTTGCTTATTAAACATGTACTGTCTAATTTTTGACTATTCTTCATCAGACCTTTGGAAAAAAAAATGTTTTTTCTTCCTGTCTTTATGCAAGATGCTGTCAGGGCCAACAGATGGCTCTGACAAAAATTATGTTTTTATCTCACAGTTGCAATTTTTACCCCGATAAATTAGACACATGGGGAAAAAACTTGGGGATCTTTATTGAGGAAAACGTTTCGCCCCACAGTGGCTTCATCAGTCCTACACGGAGAAGCTAGAAGAAAGGAGGGAATAGGTAATCATTCCCTCAGCCTTGAGTCGATGTGGTCGTCATCAATCTTGAATAGAATCGGCATATAGCGGAAGGGGGCTTATAAAACCCTAGGCAGGGGGTGCAGCAGAGTAGGTGGTGTCACATTTTTCCAATGTGAAGTAGGCGTGCCCAAGGGGTTTGGAAGCGAAGAATTCCCCCGTGTTAAGACTCCGTTCTTCTAGTTCTCGTGATGGACTGATGAAAAGCCCCTGTGTGACAAACGTTCCTCAATAAGATCCCAAAAGTTGACATGTGTCTAATTTATCAACGTGTGGTTTGTGAACCATTTATTTCAAATTTTTACCTGTCACTTCCTTTCTAAAACTATATTTTGGATGACGATCTGTATTTGTAATAGAAAAACTTTTCCACACCCCACTCCGTCTTCCTAGTAAGTTTATTCAGGTATCACAAATACGCCATGATAACAGCAAAATGTAGAGAACCCTAGATAACCCTAAAAAATCACTCTTTAAAACAAATATACATTATTCATGTTTTTTTATATAGTGGCAGATAAACATCCCTTTCCTCCACTAGGAAAATCACGTTATATGTAAGTTTTAAAGGAAACAAGACTTTGAATGAGTATTTATTTGCAAATTTTCATTAGGTTATCAAAAACATCAAAAATATATATTTAAATTTCGTTATCTTTATAGAACGGATTTAAAATTCTATTCATAAGAATAAAACATCAAAAGACACATGGTAGATTTTTTATTTGATAAAAGCACTCAGAGGCTTTCTGGTTGTCATAATCACAGGGGACCCTTGGACGGGCTTGGTCAAGCGTTTTAAATGTCAAAATTGATGTTTTTAAAGGTATCTTCACAATGCTTACGAACCTGGGCTTCCCCCGGAAAGGGGGGTGGCGAGCTAAGATAAAACAACGTCCCGTGTAGTAATCAAGGTTTAAAACCCATGCAGGGAGTACACACAGGCATAGTTAGTGTAGTCCGTTTTTTCAGGATGACTACGGGGCGGGAAATGCTGATGGAAAAAAAACTAAATTATTTAATTGAATTAGATGTAATTCGGTCGCTGTGCGATCCGAGGTAAGTTTCCTCGTATTGTGTAACCCCAGTCTCCTGTGTCTTAATGAATAGTGCAGAGTGCGGCTTTTGTTTATAATGCAGTTAAATGCTAGCACTGAATATTTGAAGGGAAACAGAAGAGGCGTTTACAAATCATCAAATTTATCCCCCCCAAAAAAATGGTAAATTAGAATACACAGCCTAAATCCAATTAAAGCCTTTCAAAGAAACCAGTATCCTAAAATACACAAAATACATTAGACACGAAGACACTCAGAAGGTGTATTATTCTATCTATGAACATGGAAGGTTTGAAGCTAATCTGCAGCACTCAACAAATACTCATCAGTGTTAGAGTACAATATTCTGCAGCACCCAACAAATACTACAGTGTTAGAGTACAATATTCTGTTGCTACTTACACTGCTGGAAGTCTACACTGAGCTCAGGTTCACCCACGGGACTAGGATACACTTTACCATGGATCTTCAACAAACTACCCTCAGCACTCACACCAGATGAAATAACATTAAACTGCTTTTCACCTGTAAAATGGAATACAATTAAAATATTTTGACATAATTTCCTGGTCACAGACCGGGCCGCGGGGGGCATTGACCCCCAGAAACCCTCCCAGCTCTAATTTTAAACTTCACATTAATGTAAGTTTGTATCAAAACACTGGGTCTAGGATACTAAGATGTAAAACAGAAGAAAAAGACTTACCGAAGGAATATTCATTGAGAACACATTGACTGAGCGGCCTGAAACAAGGTTCAGTAAGTGCGATCTGATACCACACACCAGCATACTGTAGTGTTTAATTATATAAATAAATATTAATATTCAACATAGTCACGAATATTCATTTAAATATAATAAGATCTTAAAAAACATATTGGACAAAACTTATAAGCACTGAATAAGGATCAAACATCAAAGTGACGCATTATTTTAGTTTTTTTAAGATCAGTTACGTCATGGTGCTGTTCATTTTAGGAATGGCTGGTAAAAGCCTCATATATATACCACTCAGAAACATTGTTCACGGCCTCAACTCTACAAATTATATTATAAATTAAATATGAATATTTTGCACTGAAGAAACTATTGAAAATTTATAGCAAATGAAGGAATGAGGGACTGATCCCTTTCCATAAGAACGTCATAACTAACTTAATTCGGTAATGAGAACAATTATTTACACTTTAAATGTATAGAAATGCATTCTCAAATTTAGTCACTCTATCCGCCCGTTATGAGCAGCGTCATTGACTATGAACAAACATTTGAGGCTCCTAAATGTTACGACCATTGATTAAATGTATGATTTTTATTGTTTCAGTATAAATTATTTTTTCAGAACTTACTTTGGCGTGATTTGGGACTTGCTGGGCCCACAGTTTGGTCTGGTCCACAACAGGACACTTGCCTGGGACCACATAACTTGGGATCTTGTCAGCAGTGACGGTGGCCACAAGGACCAGCAGATATGGTAGTGGGTTCATGGTGTGGGGTAAAAGCTGTTACTGGAACACACGTACCTTGCACACTGTATATATATATAGCGGGTCTCAACACAGATCGAAAATATGTAAATTGCCAAGGTCGGTTTCCAGGAATTTTCTCCTGAGCCCCGCCTCTATTACTCATTATTTTTTCCAAAATAAATCCTAAAATCCATGCAAAAATATATATATATATATTAAGTATGACGATGTCATTTTCATCCATAAATGCAGAGGAATAAAACAGAACAATGTCATACTATAAGCAATAATTTTTAAAAAACCATAGGAAATAATTTTTAAAAACTGCTTGCGAGACAGTGCTCCTCCCACATTTTTTATTATGTATACACCTTTATAAACGAGGACATGAGACGAGTGTCGTCAGTGTGAGTGAAACATTAATCATGTTCAGAACAGTCATCATTACTGCCCTCCTGGCCGGTGTTTCTGCTCAACGTATTCCAAGTTTTCTTAAACCTGGCAAATGTGCCTCAGTTGCTAACCAGGATAATTTCGACCTCGAGAAGGTTAGCAGAAGATATATTACGATCTATACTTGAATTATAAAGATATATATTCTATAATTATTAGGATGTTGTTTAGTCATGATTCTCGATTCGTTATTCAAAAGAAAAAATATGTATTGCAGTACGCTGGGCGATGGTACCAGACCCAGGTCATCGAAAATCCCTTCCAGCCACTCAGTCGATGCATCCTCTCCACCTATGACTACTCCAAGAGTGACTATGGTTTCAAGGTGACCACCGCTGGCTTCAGTCCTGATGATGAGTATCTTAAGATAGACTTAAAGATCTACCCAACTAAGGAGTTCCCAGCCGCTCACATGCTCATTGATGCTCCCTCACGTAAGTAAATGGAACAGCCCACAATAATGTATATGTTGAAAATAAGGCTAATAAGGTTATGTACTTACGAAGCAACATACATATATTCATATCAATTGTACATGTGTTCAATGCCTACTTTTCTCATCCGAGTGAATTAGGAACTCAGTGATGAACTATTTACGAGCTTCTCTAACCCTGTCCTTACAAACAAAAGTCAACCTTTTCAATTCATTTCAAGATCAATATTATTGTCTACATGCTGAAGGACACCTCACTTTGCACTGTACATGCCAGAAAGTTCTGGTTGATTCGTCTTACCTCGTTCATAATTTTCACCATGGTCATGCAACATAATGCACAGGAATGAACGAGTTATTATACATTGGCGGGTATAAGCCCTATTGGTACTGATACCTGGAGTTTTTCCTGGAGAGGGTATCGGTGGTCAACGCCCCGTGGCTCGGTCTGAGAACAGGACATACGATTCATATCGTGCTCGCAATTCTTACCAAGTGTTGTTGGTATTTCTACAGAATCAAAGATAAAGACTGCAAAACAAGCTTTTTTAGGGGGAAGAATGTTTCATTCTGCGAATTGCTTTATCAAGTGTTGGTATGACATAAAATGACTTGATAAAGCTTTACCCAAAGCGAAGTGTTGTCTAAATAATAGTCTGTTTTAACTCTGTGTCTTCAGTATTCCATTTGGATCCATTTCTGTAAAATGTGGTGATATTGTATCTTCTATATACATATATACATATACATATATATAATATCTTTCGACAGTGATTGCTTCACCCTACGAGGTCATCGAGACTGACTACGATACTTACTCCTGCGTCTACTCCTGCATCAGCACCGGCAACTTCAAAGCAGAGTTCGGCTTCGTGTTCTCTCGTACTCCCCAGACCTCAGGACCTGCTGCAGAGAAGTGTGCCGCTGTCTTCAACAAGAACGGCGTCGAGTTCTCCAAGTTCGTACCTGTCTCCCAGACAGCTGAATGTCCCTATAAAATTTAAGTCTCTGTAATACTTCATAACACTTTAAGGGAGAACAAACTATTCCTTCACCATTTAATAATTTTCCAGAAATTATTTGATTAAACCAAAGGGCCCCAGTCCCTGGACCCATTATGTACCTCTGTAATCTTTTGACCACCGCCCACAGGATGGGTATTGGGTACATAATAAACATATTAAAATTAAACTAACTAAATATGAGTCCATCCTGAACATTACGGAAGGTCACAATAAATATTCCTACACTTAACACTAAATCATGTTATGTAGCAGGATTTAATGTCCTCTTAGAAAATGTGCTAAAATCTTCATTCACACACACGTGTGTGTGTGTGTGTGTGTATGTACAATTAATTGCTCTTGGAGTGTGAGCAAGTTAACATTTATGAAGGGATTCAAGAGAGCCAGTTAGTAGGACTCGAGTCCTGTAGGCGGTCAGTACAGAACCTGCACTCTGAAGGAGGGGTGGGGATCCTGCAGCTTGGAGGAGCATCTGAACTGTAGTGTCGGTGCTCCTCTGGCGAGACGGTGATGGAGTGAGTGAAGGTAAAAGTGTTTCTTCTTTTTTCGGGACACCCTGCCTCGGAGGGAGACGGCCGGTGTGTTAAAAAAATATATATGTATATTCATTTTTTTGCGATATCGCAACAATATGTTTGTGTAAGTTAAATTTCCAATAAATAGCGGATTTATCCAATAGCTCTTGGTTTGCCCTGATGCAAGATAGTCATATAGGTCAGTTTCTCAGCAGAAACTCACTACATATAAAACCATCTGATATCTTAAGTAAATAACAGTATGTAAATAAAAATTTCGAGACTTCAATTGTTATTCTTCATTTTAACCTCTCAGTTATTTATTTATACGTTGTAAATATTTCTTCAATTTGGCAGAAAACTGATGAGTAAAGCCGTTACAAATTTTCTTTTGACCTTCGTATAAAGTTTTAGTGACATTTCAATCAGTAATATATTTTCAAGGTTAATGAAATTATATGATATAGAGGTATAACGGAGCATTCAATCAGTGTTTATGCTAAACCCATACACTTAAATATTTATATGTAAAAAAATCATACCAACAAATGGTGTAACAGACGTGGCCGTGGCCGGTGGCTTGGTGGGTAAGACTCCTGCGCTTTCACACGCGAGTGTCCTGGTGCGGATTCCCCGACGAGGTAAGAAACCATTAGGTGCGTTTTCCCTTACAGGCTGTTGTCCCCATGTTAATCCATCAGTAAATTGGGCGCCTGGGGGTTTAGTGGATTGGTGTGGGTCGCACCTGGGACAAAACTAATTTCTTAATTTTGCCCGAAATATCTTCATATACCAACCCTTCAACGCTTGGCGCTGGTGAGGGTCTTCTTGATCTAAATAAATTGGAATCTGTGCTCCAGTTCCCAGAATACCTTCCTCCCCCCCCAACCAGGTCGCTGTAAATCCCCTACTGGCTATACCCCTAACTTTCCCATAAAATTTATAATAATGCCTCTGCAATAACCAGAAGAAAGAATAATTTTAGTTTAATATGTTATTTTGCACCCCATACCCATCCTGTGGGCGAAGTTTCAAAAGAATTACAGAGTTTACATAATGGGTCCCCAGGGACTGGGCCTCAAAGTTTTTGATAGCTGGAGCAAGTTTACAGAGGTAAAATGAATTCACAATTTACAAAGGTAAATGAACTCACAATTTCAAAGAATGAACTGCCAGTAGTCTAGTCCACAATCATGACAATAACAAAGGGTATTTACAGATTACAGGGGTACACAATGGGTCCAGGGACCAGTCTCCTAAGTTTGTTGATGGCTGAACTAGGTTACAAGGTAAATGAAACACACAAAGTTTACAAGGTAAGAACTCACATTTCCAAAGGTTAAATGAACTCACAAGTTACAAATGGTCATGAATACTTGTAAGAATTGTACTTACGTTGTATAATGGCTGCAATCATAACCAAATTTTAGAGTAATTGAGCAATTCACACTTCCAACCACCCGGTCCCAACTGTAGTGAGTTAATTGGTGAAAATCTTAATTGCTGAGTCTCTCTGTCTCACACAAACACATACAAATTCATACACACACACACACATAAACATCACAACACACACATAAACACACACACCACACCACACCCACACACTAAACTCATACACACACACGCACACACACGCCATAACACAACCACACACACTCATACACACACACACTCATACTCCACACCACACACACACTCAACAGCACACACACACACACACACACACACACAGCACACCACACACACTCACAACATCAACTCATACACATACACACACACACAACACCACACACACAGCACACACACACACACACACCACACACACACACACACAACACACACAAACATCACACACACACAATGCAAAACATATGTGGTAATCCTTTTATTTACAGCTAAGCAAAGTGTCCAGGTATTTCTCCCAGAATGGTCCGTATATAACCACTGTTGAATAAAATACTTAGCCATTTCTTGAACACTACTGAGGTGAGTTGTTTCTAAATTTCCTTAATTTTATCGCACTCCAGTACATAATGACGCAGGGTGTGACAATAATCCATCTGGCAAAGTTTACATTTCGTTTGGTCTACATCTGGTGTGGTGATTTAACCTGCCAAAGATACTTGTAACTCAGCCGGAGCCGGGCGGTAAGTGACATCCAAGAGTCTGCTTATTTTGTTGGATGCACCATAGACATGTGGCTCCTCCTGCATGATAGAATGATGATAGATGGACTCACTGGTGTCAATTTCCCTGAGCCTTAAGTCCATAAAATTCAGCTGAAGTTCTTTCGTATTATTGTTCTCAAACTACTACCGACAAGCCAAGACTGTAATCTACTCCCTCTTTGAAAGTATACAGCTTAGCCAATTTATCAGTTCTATCATGCATCAGAAGACCAATGTGAGATGGAATCCACAGCATGTGCACATCTGACTCCACTGTCCACAATCCTACCATACCTGTGTCTGGCTTCTGACACAAGCATGCCACAATTTATGCTTAATGAGTTGAGAGCATTTATGGATGACAGAGAATCAGTTTACAATTAAACTGTCAATCTTTGATACATAGATGCATTTCAGTGCAAGGAGTATGGCAAACAGTTCTGTCTGAAGGGTAGAGGCCCAATTATTGATGCGTGCTCCAATTTCTTTAAGAGAGCCATCACTCTGTACGACAACAGCAGCACTACCAGCTGCACCAGTGGATTGGTGAACAGAACCATCAACGTAAATAATTTGCGAGAGTGTGTGCTGTGTGACTAAGTTATCAATACAGCTTAAGGCCTCATGTTTGGCTTCAAGGCGAAGTTTTGGTTGTGATTTAAGAAGTAGTTTGGGGGGAAATGGAGGAATGGTAGTTTCGAATGGGGTAATATTCCACGGAGCGGAGAAGTGCCGCTGTTGCCTTACTTGACATAGATCATGTATCTGATTCATGCGGAGGTCGGTTCCAGTCTTTTCGATCCATCTGGAGGAGTGTTCACCAGTGCTGAGGAAAGTTTGGAGGGCTTCTGTGCAGGGTTTGAATGAGCTTGCCTGAGCATATTAACCCCAATTAGGATATTTCTTTCAGTAACACGATCTCTGATGCTTGGAATATCAAGTTCTTTTTGCATATTTAAAATTTTGGCAGTACGAGGGCATCCTAGGATGATCCTCATTGCTTCGTTCTGCAGTTTTTCCAGCCCTCCAAGCTTCCAGTCAGACACAAGAGCAAGTAGTGGCGCAGCATAATCAACCAATGATCTAATATAAGCAAGATACATCATTTTCACAATTTTAAACATTAGCACCATACCTGGGTGTGAAGCCCTGCCACAACTCTAAGTGCTCTTAGTCGTTCTTTGTGTTGGCGACAAGTATTGTACAACAGGTCCAAGTAGTGGAACCTCAAAGCCTAGATACTGTATCTGCTTGCATTATTCTAGAAGAGACCCATCATGCAATTGGATCTGACGAACTGTGCCTCTCTGTCGAGGAGGACGCCTATTGAGTATCTTTGTTTTTATCAGTAGAGATTATCAACCCCAGTCCTGACACGAGGCTAGTACATGATTAAGAATGTTTTGGGTGTTGGAGAATCCGGTGGTGTGAATCATTATATCATCAGCAAAACTAATCACATAATTATGGGGCTGACTAGGCATAGCATTAAGTAATGCATTAATTAGAATATTGAACAGTGTGGGACTGAGCACACCTCCCTGTGGGGTTCCTAATTCAAAGTCTTTAGTTACACTTCTATGTCCCTGGAACAACACAGACGATTTTCTGTTGGACAGGTAGCCTTTAATCCAGCGGAGAAGCCATCCTCCAACATCCATTCTGGCAAGTTTGTTTGTGTTGTTTGTAGTAACAGCAGCAGAGTTGTGATGGTGGTGTCCTGTCTTCAGTGTTTGTAGTTACAGCAGCAGAGCTGTGGTGGTGGTATCCTGTCTTCAGTGCTTGTAGTCACAGCAACAGAGTTGTGGTGGTCGTGTTCTGTCTTCAGTGTTTGTAGTTACAGCAAGAGAGTTGTTGGGGTCGTGTTCTGGCTTCAGTGTTTGCAGTTACATTAACAGAGTTGTGGTGGTATTGTTCTGGATTCAGTGTTTGTAGTTACATTAACAGAGTTGTGATGGTGGTGTCCTGTCTTCAGTGTTTGTAGTTACAGCAGCAGAGTTGTGGTTGTGGTGTCCTGTATTCATTGTTTGTAGTTACAGCAGCAGAGTTGTGATGGTGGTAGCCTGTCTTCAGTTTTTGTAGTTACAGCAGCAGAGCTGTGTTGGTGGTAGCCTGTCTTCAGTGCTTGTAGTCACAGCAACAGAGCTGTGGTGGTCGTGTTCTGTCTTCAGTGTTTGTAGTTACAGCAGGAGAGTTGCTGGGGTCGTGTTCTGGCTTCAGTGTTTGTAGTTACATTAACAGAGTTGTGGTGGTCGTGTTCTGGATTCAGTGTTTGTAGTTACATTAACAGAGTTGTGGTGGTCGTGTTCTGGCTTCAGTGTTTGTAGTTACAGCAACAGAGTTGTAGTGGTCGTGTTCTGGCTTCATTGTTTGTAGTTACTGCAACAGAGTTGTGGTGGTCGTGTTCTGGCTTCAGTGTTTGTAGTTACAATAGCATATTTGTGGTGGTCGTGTTCTGGCTTCACTGTTTGTAGTTACATTAACAGAGCTGTGGTGTTCGTGTTCTGGCTTCAGTGTTTGCAGTTACAGCAACAGAGTTGTAGTGGTCGTGTTCTGGCTTCAGTGTTTGTAGTTACAGCAACAGAGTTATGGTGGCCGTGCTCTGGTTTCAGTGTTTGTACTTACAGCAACAGAGTTGTGGTGGTCGTGTTCTGGCTTCAGTGTTTGTAGTTACAGCAACAGAGTTGTGGTGGTCGTGTTCTGGCTTCAGTGTTTGTAGTTACATGAACAGAGTTGTGGTGGTCGTGTTCTGGTTTTATTGATTGTAGTTACTGCAACAGAGTTGTGGTGGTCGTGTTCTGGCTTCAGTGTTTATAGTTACAGCAACAGAGTTGTGGTGGTCGTGTTCAGTCTTCAGTGTTTGTAGTTACAGGAACAGAGTTGTGGAGGTCGTGTTCTTGCTTCAGTGTTTGAAGTTACAGGAAGAGAGTTGTGGTGCTCGTGTTCTGGCTTTACTGTTCGTAGTTACAGCAACAGAGTTGTGGTGGTCGTGTTCTGG